TTGTTCAATTTTATACCAATTTGTTTGGTTTCCCCCTCATGGATCAGTATAATGGCTTTGAGAGGATACAATCTTTGGTGAAAACTAAAGTTTCTACATCTCAATTGGTCATGCTTGCTAGACCTATTTCTGATGCTGAAATCAAGGAGGTTTTTTGGTCTCTCAAGGCCAATAAAGCTCCCGGTCCTGATGGTTACTTTGCTGGGTTTTTCAAAAGCTCTTGGGATATTGTTGGAAAGGAGGTCACTTTAGCTATTAAATCATTCTTTGATTCTAGTAAGCTTCTTACTAAGATCAATAGTACCATCATAGCCCTTATTCCTAAAATTCCTAATCCTATGTGTAGACAACCCATTTTTGACCGACCTTAAGACTCAGACTTCATCGATTGAGTGCTCGGTGATTGCGCATGTTGTGTTCGTTCTGAAGTTTCGGAGTTTGGCTGAGAGCCATGCCTCCAAGCCTTGGAACTTTTTGTGCTTTGACTCGGTATACGGACCATATCTTGTTTTCTCTTCCCGAACGGAGGGAGAGGTCTTGTAAACCATCTCTCAGTGGTCGTAGGCTACTTTTCGTGATCATAGGCCACTATTTCCGTTTGGAGACTTGCTTCAGGTTTTTAGAGCCGTCTGTCGTGCGCCTCGGCTCGGGACTGCTTAACATTCTCGGTTTTCCCCTGTTTTTGGAGCACACCTTGTTTCCTCTGTCTAGAGGGACACTGTGGTCTAGGAGACCACTTTTGGGGCTCAACAGCCAGTTTTCAGGGCACCCGGCCATGCGCTTTGCCCCCCGAACTCTCATTTTGCATCCGTGTTGGCTCATTTTTGGCATGAACCTTGTTTTCCTTGTTTGGGAGGTGGTACAAGGGTGGGAGACCACCTTTTCATCTTAGAGACCACTTTCTCCCCGCCAGCTGGTTTTCTTGACGGGAAACTGGTTTCCTTGATCTTTGGGCCATATTTACTGGTCTCCCACCACACTACTAGCTTGCTTTCAAAGTGGAGACCACCAATTGGGGCCACCAACCACCCTTTGTTTTGGGAGACCACTTACCCTGGTCGGCCGACCAGGGACGACCCTGTCTAGTTGGCCAGCTCCCTCCTGTTTTGTTTGTTTGAGTGTGTGCCAGCTGTGCCAGCTGGAAGGCACAGACTGTATCCTCCATACACGTGTGTGTTTGCTTGAGCCTTGGTTTTTAGCTTCTTGAAGAAGCTTTGGCCTTGTATCTCTATAAGAGAGGCCCTCCTCGTCCTTGGCACTGGTTGAGACTTCTCTTTAAGGCAAAAAATATATCTCACTCTATATCTCTACATTTTAGCTCCAAAAGTGTATTGTTCTTGGCCCTTTTACATTACACCTCATAACCATAAACTTCCACCATTGATTTGAGGTCCTCGGAGGTTGTTTTTAGAGGTTAAGGAGTTGGTTTTTGGTCCCAAAGTGTGCTGGTTTTGCTGAGCTTCAAGGGTAATCACTTTTCCCTCTTTGAAGCATTATTTTGATCCTCCTCTTAGCCTCATTTGCATGCTTATTTGAGCCTTGTTGTCAACTGAAAAAAGGTTCATATTTAAGTTATTTTCATGTTTGTCTAAGGCTCTTTTGGTGTTGGGGGCCATCTACCCTCTTGCATGCTCTATTTAGCATGGTGTTCATATTTTGGGCCACCTTAGCTCTGTTTGAGGTTTTTTGGGTCATGCATGCATTGTTGTGTATGGTCATGGTTCAATCTAGCTTACTAGCTTTGTACATCGGGTCCACTAGCATGCGTTACTTGGGCTTTTGGCATGATTTAGCATCATTTCTACCATGATTTCAATGCATATTCCATGGACATGCACTCACATTTGTCACTTCTTCCATGCATTGGAAGGCTTATGCTTTGAGCCTTAAGAGTTAGCCATCATGTATGCATGTTTGCCTAAGCTCATGAGCTCCATTTCAGCATGTTCTTAACTCTTAGTTTGGCATGATTAAGCTCTGTCCAGAGCTGGTTTAGTGGTCTAAGCTTGGTATTGTATGCTCCTTGTGTATCGCTCTTGACTAGCCCTATGCTCTAGGCTTTCTAGCATGCCTGATTTGTGTTGTTTGATTGATTTGGGCATCATTTAATACTCCATTTCAGAGCATGTAGTGTTGTCATACTCTCGTGCATGTCACTCTCTAATCACGCTTAAGAGTTGTGCCTTTATGCTTTACTTTCGAGCCATGAGTGGAATGTGCATTTCATGCTCTTTGTGCCTAGGTTTTATTGAGTTTTGGCCACTGATTTGAGTGTGACCGAGGCCCACTCATTTTGGTTTGAGTCCATTTTGCATCGAGTATGCCATTGTAGTTCATAGCATTGTGCATGCCACGTAGTTCGTCGCATTGAGTATGCTATTTGATATTCGCATCGTGTATGCTAATTGCATCTTGCCATATTGTTGCGTATGTTGTCTTGCATTGAGTATGTGAGCATTAGCATTGTGCATTGTGCATGCCATTAGCCTTGTTAGGTTGTCCATGTTGCATTTCATATTGGCATTGTGCTTGCTATTATGCCATCCTTTGCATGTTTGCATCACTTAGTTACATAGCATTTAGGTTGCATGCTTAGAGTCGCATTGTGCATGCCATTGTTTGTTGTATTGTGTTCGGAATAGGAGTTAGTCCGAACACAGGAAACAAGGGATGTTTCGTACTCAAAGTAAGGAAACGTCCCTCGATTCTCGGTCGTCGACACTCTTGATTACCCATGACGGAGTTGTTGGCTTTAGGTGCTTGTATGTGCATTCATTTCACATTGAGTCATGCAATTCGACTCCTCAGCCATCATGCATCGGGATGCGTGATTGGTGGCCCAAGGATCGAGGACTACACTCCCTAGAGCTTATGCAATGATGGGGAGAGTAGTCGTGCACACATATATTAAAAATACTTTGTCGTGCCCTTCCCTTTCCCTTTGTTACAGAAAAACAGAATCTAGGAGAAGAAACTGGTCGGCCGACCAGGTTTTCTGGCAGGCCGACCACCCTCTTTGCATTCCACCATAAAAGGTGGTCGGTAGTTGGTCTCCCATGCCTATAAGCTATTCGGCAGCCTTCCCATAGTTTCCCGGGGTGGAGTTTCATCTCTCTGGAGCTTTGTGCAAATTCTGAAATCAATTGCAAACAAAGGCAAGTCGGGGCATCGCGATGGATTTCCCGACAAGGCGACTCGAGCATGCATGCATCCTTTATCATTCAAGGCAGAGCTGAGGCAGTCCACATTCATGTAGTTTGCATGCTAGTATAATTGCTTACGTAGTTAGTTTGTTAATTAATTAGAGTTGTGTAATAATTAGCTGTAGTTTATTATTCATTTTGGTTGTGTAATAACTAGCTTAATTATATTAGCTTAGATTAGCTAGTTGGTGTTGTATTATTTATTCGGACCCTCCGTCGAGAGGGCCAACTGTTGTAATAAGTGTGCATGTGTGTGATGTATGTCTTCCAACCCCATGTCTTTCTCCCTTTTATTTACCAGCTTATGATGGTTAGTTTTAGGGCATGTTTCAATTAGCATCCTTATGCTCGCATGATTGCACCCACTCATCTGTCTTGCATGCACCGGGCTCGGCGTATCATACTAACTGCATTGTATTTCAATTCCAAGTTGAATACATGTTATTTGTAACATCTCATATGCCATTTTAGAATAGCTGAGCCTATCTTAGTTGCATTTTGCATGTGTTGCATTAGCCATCTTAACATGAACTAAGATCATGCATTGATTACTAACTAGTTTCTGTTTTGGCTTGGAGTACTCGATGAGTGTTTATGCTTCAGCATCCCTGACTGTGTGTAAGTGATTGCCATGATAGCATGCTTGCCATGAGGCTAACTGCTTATGTGATATACCTGCCTGAATGCCTATGGGTGAAGGTTGGATTACTTGAATTGGAACAATTCATTGAATGCGAGTTTTAAGCCCAATTGAGAGTGGCAAAACACCATGTTTTCTAAGCCCACTTGAGGGTGGCAAAATCCGTATTTTAGCCTACTTGCGAGTAGCAAACCGCTTTCAAAAATAAACATGAGATGTTTCGTTCCAACTTAGACGATCTAGTTTATACTTGCATGCTGTGCGCATCACGTAGCAATTCTAGGCTAATAAACCGGAATAAGAACGCATGTGTTTTCAAAAACTCGATATCACTTTTAGTAGTGGCCGATCTTTAATCGGGCGAGCGGGGGTGCTCATTGCATGACCTTCCCCAATCGTACCCAAGTTCCCGAGCCGAGGCAACTTCGGTGACGACGGACACATGGCCTTAGGCACGAGTCAGGGTTTCCTAAATCCCCCCAAAATAAAATATTTAGGGGGTGACTCTGTATCTGGAAAAGCAGTCCATGTTTGACACGTCTTTCTAAGAATCAGTTTTTCAAAATGATTTGCCGGATTTGGACTCTTTGGTGATTTATCAATCTCGCATTGCACTTTGCGAGATCAGATTAAGAACCGTGACATTTGAATCCAAACTGTAGTAAGCCCAATGGACAAAACGGGATTTTCCCAGGACATTCGGGGACGTCTACACTATGCAAGTTGGTGATTACAGACCCATCTCCTGTTGTAACACCATCTACAAGTGCATTGCTAAGATCATAGCTAACAGAGTTAAGATGGTGCTCCCTGATCTTATTGACCCTGTGCAGTTTGCCTTTGTCCAAGGCAGAAGAATCTCGAACAACATCTTTCTGTCCCAAGAGATTATAAGAGGCTGTCATAGGAGTTCTAAAACCCCTAAGTGTGCCATGAAAGTGGACATCATGAAAGCTTATGACAATGTGAGGTGGGATTTTATTCTAGATATTCTCACTGCGATGGCCTTTCCTCCTTGTATGATAAATTGGATAAAGGCTTGTATGACTAGTGCCTCGTTCTCTATTTGTATTAATGGTAGCCTTCACGGGTACTTTAATGCGGCTAGAGGGCTTCGGTAGGGGGATCATATGCCCTCCTATTTATTTGTGTTGGCTATGGAGATTTTAGCTAGAATTCTTGCTAAAAAAGCTAGTAGCCCTATGTTCAAGCTTCATTGGAGATGTGAGAAAACCAAAATCGTCAATTTGTGCTTTGCTGATGACTTGATGATCTTTAGTAAAGGGGATCCTGGTACTGTCAGCCTCATTATGCAGGGTTTGGAGGAATTTAGGAGTTTGTCGGGCCTAACACCTAGCCCTAGGAAGAGTAACATCTATTTCTCGGGGTGTAGTAAGGAGCTTAAAGAGAACATTCTTCATATTGCCAACTTTACCGAGGGTTCCCTCCCTGCGAAATATCTGGGGGTGCCTTTGATCACAACTAAGCTTAAAGGCTCTGATTGCCAAATTCTGTTAGATAGGATAACTAAGAGGATTAAAAGCTGGACTAATAAACTTTTGTCGTATACGGGTAGAGCCCAACTCATGCAGTGGTGGTTATGTTGGTTAGGTAATTGTTTTTATTTGTTATAGGGCGTGCCTGGGGTATGCCCCTTGTGAACTTGTAAATTTCATTGTTTTTATTTTATGACTTACCCTAAAAAAAACTCATCCAGACCATTCTATTTTCGATGGAAGTTTATTGGTCCTCCATTTTTGTTCTCCCTAAAAAGGTTGTTCGTGATATTGAGAGCCTTCTTAGATCCTTTCTTTGGTCTCTGGTTGAATTGAAGAAGCATAGTGCTAAGATTGTTTGGAAGAAAATTTGCAAATATAAGAATGAAGGAGGGCTTGGCTATAAGGAAATGGAGGTTTGGAACAAGGCTGCTACAGCCAAACATGTCTAGTTTCTGTTCTCTGGTGGGGAGTGTTCTATGTGGTGCCAATGGGTCAAGTCCAACTTGCTCAAAGGTAAGAGTTTTTGGGGTATAAAAATGCCTAGTGATCCTTCATGGGTTTGGAGGAAACTTCTGCCTCTTAGGCACTTAGTTTTCTCTCTTATCAAATTCAAAATTGGTAATGGGGAAAATTTGTTTCTTTGGTTTGATAACTGGCACCCTCTAGGTTCGCTATGGCATGGGTATGGGCAGAGGATCTTGTATGATACGAACCTACCTGATATTACCAAAGTCAGTTCCATTGTTTCCAATGATTCTTGGAAGTGGCCTATCTCTAATTCATGGGAGATAGAGGAGTGGATTTCTTCCACCCCCCTTTCCGTTAAGCCCTCCAAAGATTCTCTGGATACCCCCTTCTGGAGCTTGACTGCTGATGGTATGTTCGCCATCCATTCTACTTGGGACTGTTGGAGGGATAAGGGCCCCAAAGTCTTTTGGTCCAAACTTATCTGGCGGATTCCTTTAGTTCCTACGGTTAGCTTTGTTGTGTGGCTGGCTATTAATGAGAGGCTGAACACTGGTGATAGATTACAGATGTTTGGCCTTGTCCCTAATCCTAGTTGCCTTTCTGTCATGTTCTTGAGGAGAACCACTCCTACCTCCTTTTTAGGTGTGCTTATTCTTCTAGGATTTGGGCTGCTATCTAGACTAAGTGTAGTACTAGTTGACCTGATAAGTCTTGGTTGGAGACTGTTGATTTTGCTACTAAATCCACCAAGGGCAAAACATTACAATCCGTAATTATGAAACTGTCCTTTCTTTGCACTGTCTACCATATTTGGATGGAGAGAAATAGTAGAATTTTTAGTAAGGTGTTCAAACCTAAAGAGATTCTTACGAACTCTATTGTCCAAACGGTTAGAGGCAGAATTCTTTTTATGGAAAATTTGACTACATCAGCAGGTGATAGCTAGTTTTTGATGCAATGGAACCTTCCACCTAAAATCGTGAAGCTGTCCCATGCTAATGACGCTAGTAGGAGATTGAGTGGTGTGAGATCACCTATATTGAGGGTTGAGTGAGGGTAAGCATATAGTGAGGGATTATCTAATTTGGGTGTTCTTTTGCAGGTTGGCATTTGAATGAAGTATTCTCATTTATACATTTAATGATGGTTCCCTATTTATAACCAAGAATGGACAAGCCTTATGGAGGGTTGAGTGATTTGAGCCAAGATATTCATTTTATCAAATGTGGGTTGAGTGAGGAGAGGTTGTACATACATGATGTTCTAACAATCATTATATGTTATATATTTTTTATGCACGTTACGGAAGCTATCATGTACATAGTCCCTTTGTGGATTCTAAGAGTGCATGCGAGTTGTGGGCCAAGTGTTGGGAGATATTATATGGAGTGGAGAGAGTTCTGAAATTGTGGGTTGAGTGATGGGAGGTCCCAAATAGTGTGTCTGCTTTTTCTACTTCTCTATGATTATCTATACAGTCTCGGTACTTATCTGTTACTATATATTGGACAGGTATACTTACTCATGGTCCGGTGAAGTGGTGGTGGCTGCATGATGCGCCCTTCCAAGAGGCAACAAACAGTTTGGACATGTACCTTGGTGATGGCTGCTTTCAGTGCCTTGTCTAGCTACATGAGAGTGTTAATCAGTTGTCTTAATTCTTGTTTGTACAAAGTTATTTTTAGTTTTTGTCTCTTAATGTTAATGGCAAAGGCACCTACTCCTACGGGTTGTGTAGGAGGGCTTTTGTTTGGGCTTGTTTTCTTCTTACTTTAACTGTGTTGCTGAATTTGACTTCGAATAAAAAAGACTTGTTGAAGCTGTTATGTTACTCTTTTGGTCACTTCCAGTGCTCCTCGGTGCTCTCTATAGATTGCTGCCCACTTTTGGCTATTGGTTATCCATGTTGTACAAGACCCCTATCCATTGCAGGACATGGTTTTTGTACAATTCACTGGCTAGGTTCTATATTCTGTTTCTTTTAGTCAGCGTTGTAGCTTTTGGGTTGGATTGTTAATTGTTTTGTGTTTTGTTTTTTCTTTGGTTGGTGTTGTGGGCTGAGCTTCGGTACTGTCTTGCTGAGGCTTTTTCTTTTGTATCTATGTTACGACCTGGGGCATGCCCCTTCTAATTCTATAAATCCTTTGTTTTATTTGTTTCTTATTCACCAAAAAAAAAAAACTACTCCGTAAATTCTCTTTCTTGGAGGCTAAACAAAATTAGTTTGGATGAAACTTGGCCTCTTAAAAAAATGAAACTAATAGTTGCCTAAGCTAATTAGCTCGTAGAACAAAAAGAGAGAAGGTTAAAGAAGGACAGAGAGAGTTAGAGAAAAATTTACTTCATCAGTGGTAGAAGAAAAAGTTAGAGAAAAGAATGGGAAATAGGATAAAAATTAAAGGGAATTCAAAGTCATCCTTTTGGACTTGAGAATTAAACACATAGGTGATTCACAAAACCTTAAATGAGATGCTTAAGTTAAACTAATATCGTTAAGAAACAATTACTTAGTAAAATCTCTTTCTTAGAGGCACTTGTCCAATTCTTCTTTACTCATTTTACATTACTGATTCATTCTTTAATCGATTAAGTACAAAAGTGAGTGTCTTCTAAAGTGAAAGAAGTCTCAACCAAGGGGTAATTTAAGGCATGAGAGAGATCATGCCATTGGTAATGAACCCTCAAAGTGGATTAAACTATTAAGCATAACCTCAATTTTAAGCTTAAAAGACCCCAAGTTTGAAACAACTCTCAAAAACAAATAAAAGAGTGAATAATTGAGGGAGGTTGCAGAGATTTCAGTTCTAAAATGGAGTGCAAAACAATACTAAAACATGCTTTGAACTTAAAACAATGGTTATTAAAGAACCAAAACGCCAAGCTAGTGAAGGAATTAACCGTACAACTATGTAATACAAGCCCAAACTAAATTAACCAGCCCAAAAACAGAGCCAAAACAGGTTAAAACGAGGGCAAAAACATGCTGAACTTAAGCTAAATTAAGCTAGAAAAACATACTAACACATCAAGCTAACTAGGCATGCAAGCAAGATACAAGGAGGGGAGGCTAACCCCTCCAATTTTGGACTTCAAAACAAGGTTTCTACCACTAAAATACCTCTGAAAATCAGTGATTAAAAGGCCCAAAAAATTTGGTTTAAAAGTCATAAGAAATGGCACAAAAGCCTAACAAACAAAGAGACAAGAAGAGTGGACTACCCCTTAACACAAAGTAACCTCAAACCACCATTTTTAGGTCATAAAAATAAAGGTTTTTGTAGTTGAAAATCAGGCCAAAAACAATACAAAATGATGGTAAAACAAGTTATGTAAAACAAGTTTAAAAGGTGAGTCTTATACCTCTTGAAGCACAACACAATTTTAGGCAACAAAACCAAGCAAAATCACTTTCAAGAGCTCCAAGAAGACATCCTAGAACCTCAGCTCAAAGATAACCAACTTTTGTCAAGGATCTATAGGCAAGAGAGAAGTGTATCTCTACTTGTATGCACAAAAGTTCAAGAGAGAGAGAAATCTAGAGAGAGAGGATTGTAGAGAGAGAGGCTCCCAAAATTTCTTCAACCTTGAAAATAGTAGAGAAGGTCTTCTATATATAGAAATATAAGAGCTCAGGTCGAAAATATCAATTCAGAAATAGCTGGAGCAGTGTGGAACAGCTGGAGGGGAAATATCTGCACAAAAATTGATTTTTAACACCAATGGCCGGCAAGGCATCATTGATGGCTGGCAAGGTTCATTTGTGGCCGGCAAGGACCATCAATGGCCGGCACATGGCCAGAACATGGCCGGCAAGCCTCACTCAGTGGCTGGACAAAAAATCTACTTTTTGGGCCCGACTTCAAATGGGCATATCACCATTCTTCGGACTCCTTTGTAAGTCATTCTTGAGTCTAAACTGAAGCCCCAAAAGTCTTATTTCGAATGGTGGTAGCCTCACATCAAAATCCCAAGTGTGTAAAAAGATATACGCATTTTTGTGAAGACTGATCAATTTTGGCTTAAACGGATGGATGCCTAACTCCAACCAGCCATATCTCCCTCATTCGGACTCGGCTTTAGAGATTCTTGAGTGTAAAATGAAGCCCTGGAAGTCCTCTTTCCAATGGTGGTGGCCTCATAACTTAATTCCAAGTATACAAAAGGATAGGCATGATTTAGTGAAGGATGCCTGATTCTGTTCTAACAGTTCATGCCCAACTTCTTCCCCACCTAGGTTTCTTCCCTCCACTCTTATTTTCTTCAACTCCAAACCTCTAAAGAAGATGTTTTGAAATATTTTTCAATGATTTCATCTCTCTTTCATTTTTTTCCACTTTGCCCTTGCTCGGTTTATCGAAAAGTGAAATTTTTAATGAAATGCGAGCCTCAGAACATCGTAGAAACTTGTTTTTTTCAAAAATGTTTTGAAAGAGAGGGTTTTAAGGTCTAAAATCATTTTGGTAAAAAAATAGTTTTGGTCCAAAAATGGGGTGTAAGGTTGGGATTTGAAGCTCCTTTTGCCGAAGAAATCAAACCTTTGAACTGCACAATGTTCACCACCAAGTAAGCAATCAGTGGCGCCCAAGTCTTAAGGGCAGTAAAAAATGAGGTGTCTACAGTTGCCCCTCTTTGACAGAACTCAGAATTCATGAAATGAAGTGAGTGAATGTCAAAGCCCAAAGACGACCCATTTTGACAAGGTCGTAAGACTTGGGCAAACAAACAAAATGGTTGAACCCGAGGGTTGCCTACATATCCCTTTGCAAGAAAAAAACTAGCCTAGTTCAGGGGCAGAATGCAAATGATACATAATGTAATGAAACAATGCAAATGATATGCAGTTCAAATGAGATAATCAAACCATGAGCAGTGCAAAACCACGCAAATATCATAAAGGGATGGAGATGCAACATCAAACTACGTTTAACACA